ACATGAGAGTTCTTACCAGTTTAACAAGACTAAGATATCTATTTTACAGGATTTCGCATGATTATTTAGTAGAAGTATATAGATTTAATAGACTTCATCAGTAAAATTTGCAATTTTTATTTTTTATTTTTCAACTATTAAACTGTTTCCCCTAAAAAGCACAAAATTCTCCCAAGTCTATGATCAGATTTTGCACTACAAAGTGAAGGGTTCTTTAGGCCTCCTCTGTTTAAGAGTCAAATTATCTAAATTATATACATTTCCACTTGTTGCTAATTTGGTACTGGTTTTAGGTACAATTTGCAAAAAAACCAATTACTACTGTTTTCCCAATAAACCGTCTCTTAAACATCTTTTGACTCGTAAAAAAAAAAATTAAGATACACCGTCTGAATTTAGTGAGGCCCACCATCCCATTCACATATTTAGATGACAAATAATTATTCTTTTAAAAATGGCATATATAACCTTGAAAAAAGTATTAACTAAGTATTAGAGATACCGAAAATATGATACTCCGTACCTTGTTAATGATTAATCTGTAATTGTTACTTTTTATTATTAATAGAACTAATGAATATTACCGGAGAAATTAAATTTTTGACGCTAGGATTTAAGGTAACTTTACAAGATAAGGACTAAAAAGATAAAAAAGAAAAGAAAACACATACTCTGTTCAAAGGCTCGGTGAAAAGAAAAATGCCTAACTAAATAATTTGATTTGCTGACATTTAAATTGGCTTAAACCTGTCGAGTCACACACTTGCCACTTGATTTTGTTTACCGATAATTACACACACACACACACAATTGATTTATGACAAGGAATAGGAGCACTAACACCGGTTGTGCATGCCAACATGATCAAAATGGGTTCAATTTCACATAAAAGTTGCTGTTGAATACGTCCCTTGATTCATGGTCACACCACCAATCGAGCACTTTCTTAATGGCATATATCTATCTTCCATTTGTCATGCACAAATCACCATCTCCTCTACAAGAAAGCATTAAATAATTCGGTTTTACGAATCCTCGATCATTCCAACCTTTAAATGTGGTGGGATCCACCATTACATTCATGATCTAATGGATCTCACTACTCTGAATACCATCCTTCCATATATTTAATATTTTTCTCTCATATGCTCAAACCATAAAAATAAACCCTTTTATCCTTATTTTTCATCATTTTGATGGTTAGTCTTGATTCAAAACAAAGTTTTTGTTCCTAAATTGGACTTCGAAGTGTTCTTTAATTATAATTTTACATTAAGGCTCTGTTTGTTTGGATGCAATATATTTTTCAATTTTTTGTGTTTGATTGTTATAAAATATTTATGAAATAACTAATTATAACGTCTCACCCGATGACCTGATTTAGATTTTTATCAAATATAGAAAAAAATAAAATAAAATAAAAATATTTTATCCATGCTTGATCGATACATCATTAAGGATCCAAAATGTGCTCTGCATGTGAAAGAAAAGTTTTAACTCCTTACCTTGTATATCTTGTAAATGATGATATTATGTTTTTTAGGCATTGGATTTGAAGTTTTTCTCCAAAAATATCATGCAGTATAATAACTACAAAATATATGGATGGGTTCTTGTGAGTTGTGATGTCTCGGAGAAAAAGTTGCCGTCACTTATATCTGAATACTTGTAATAATGTAGGTGTAGTTTGACAATCGATGTAGGAGGGAGAATGTTAGAGCAAATAATATTTAAGCAATCATTGCTGCTGGACCCTTTTTTTAAATGATTAAATCTTTTAGGCAGTAGTCTAACATAAAATTTGGCAGAGGATTGAGAAATTATGGAAAGAGGGTTGAATCAAAATGTGTTAGATAAACATTGCAAACTAAAAACGTAATTAAAAAACACAATAGAAAAGTATACATCCATCGAACACACTAATTTATGTGGTTTGATTTGAAGCGTACGTAAAATATAAAAAAATTACAAATTTCAACTCCAAAACCCGGTCTCTCTCTAATTATGTGACTTTCTGTATTCACATCCCCATACCAAATCCTAGAGTCTATAACCCATAAGAAAAAATATACATATTTTTGGTCAAAACCGCGAAAACAAAATTCGGATCACTACTTCATAACCCACCACATTCTTCAACAGATTCACATGCCTAGTGACACATCAAAGCCCTTGATGATGTGATGAATAATTTGGTTATAGAAACTCATTAAACCGTCCAGGATTATTGTCACAGAGAATTGGCGAAGAAGATGAAGATTCTCAAGAAAGATTAGAATTGAGAAGGAAATAGAAACAATCAACAGAGGATTGAAGAGTCTATAAAACTTTGACTTCCATTATTTTATTCTGTGTCCTTATCAATCCTATATATTCAATCAAAAATGAAATTAGTTTTATACCCACATAATTCTGTCAGGTCATAATCATCCTAGATTATGAAACCATGCCACTAATTTTAGGGTGGTTCATGGACCACCAGTTTGAAAACAAATAAAACAAATTTATGCTTCAGATAGTTTTCACAAGCCGAAAGCAAGAGAATATATTCTCCATGATATAGATATGAGCTATCAATCACATTCAGGTTATCTCACTACAAAACTGCCTTTCAATTGGTCTAAATTTTGTTCCTGATTTTGTTTTGTTGCCACACATCAACTCTAAATCATACAACCATATATATATATATATATATACACACACACTGCCATTTGTGTGATGGCCATTTTGGTGGTTGATTAAAGAATATATGTCGGAATCAATTTCATATATGACCACCACATACTAGTTTAACACATACTACTAGTTCAGTGTCTCTCTCTATGTTCTGTTTAGCAAGCCATATACAAATACACCTGTAAAAATGATAATAAAATAAAATATAATAAATAATAGTAAAAAATAATACAATATGAAAATTCAAATAAAAATAATAATAATAATAATAATAATGTTGAAATAACTGGAGAGAGAGATCTATAGAACAGAATCTTTATCGGAGCCCAACTGGTTCCAATATATTTTGATCTCCTCAAATTGGCTTTGGATTAGTTTCCAATTTTAAAATTGGGCCTCCCAATGTTTTCAAGTTGTCTTGTTTTTAAAAGTCAATGCTGGGCCCTAAGAGGGCAATTTAGATTAGTTTCCAATTTTGAAATTGGGCCTCCCAATGTTTTCAAACAGTCATATTCTTCAGTCAAATGGGCCCGAACAGAATTGAGTGACCAAAAATAATGAGGCCACTAAAGTATTTGATGGTAATTTGTTCAAAACAAAACTTGAGACACCTACATATATATTACTTCTAACTGAACCATTGCAACAGAGGTGGATACTATACTACAAAGTTTGATATAATTTAATGTTGTTGTTGGTTTATATATATATATACATTGCAGCAACGATTTATTGCTCCGACGAGCAAGAAAATTAATCTACACTTTCCATACTAACCGTTAGATTAAATCTAAGGTCAGTTTCCAAACCCAACTTTATCCTATCCTTTTAATTTTAAACCACTAAACTGTCAAATTTCTCTACAACTTGTGTTTGCCTTCTGATTTAATCATTCAATGAATTTAACTTCCGCTTCATCAAATAGCTAGAGTGTTACACATAGATATGGTCAATTATAGAAAAAGAGGTGTATATGTGAAATATATATTTTGGGGAGATTGTGAAAAATATATATATATATATATATATATATATATTGTATATTGGCTAATTGCGTTGTCAAAACAAGTCCGATCGAATTGTAATTTTCCAGTTTAGAATTTTAAGATTGAAGATCGGATGCGAATTTAAAGAAGTTCAAGTATTCATGGTATGCTACACTCCGAAATGATGAGAACAATGCTTTAGCAAGTTTTGAGAGGTAGTGAGAACATTTAGGAAGGGTTTTGGAAGTTTTAAAAGAAGATTTTACATTATGTCTCTTAAACTGGTTCAATGGGGCTGATCTGATTCAACATCAGCAGAATTGCCAAAGCTTCAAGACTAACCATCTTGAACCGGTTCAAGGGGGCTGAACTGGTTCAAGGGTCAAAGTGATTCACGTTAAAATCTTACTGGCTATCTTGAACCGGTTCAGTCCCTCTGAATCGGTTCAAAGCATCCTGGACAATTTGGGAACTTTTATTTCTTACTCTATTTGTTTCCTAGTTGGTTTAGAATTCCTCCAAGTCGAAATTTTCTATATTTTTAAAGGGTTTAGGACATTCTAAACTCTATGTAAATCATGATAGTCATCTAGGTTTAGACACGGTTTTTGCATGCAAAATTCAAATCTATTAGAGAGCCATTTTTTAAAGATATTTAATTGATTTTCTGATTTTATTTTTGAGAGCACACACAGAAACACAAGAGTGATTTAGGAATATTGTTCTTTATCTCATCGGAATTGGAGCATAATTGAAGATTCAGAAATTCCGAAAAGCAGAATTCATTCGTTCTTCGTTAAATTCAGATCTAGAAGAAAAATGATGAAGCGATCGATCATACTTTAAAGGGGTCAAAGCATTCGTGGAGTATTGTTTGATATACCTGCAACTCTTCTACAAAGATTAAGAGTAAGCCTGAGGTTGAGAGCTGTTGGAACGGGGAGTCGCAAAGTCAGGGATTGTCAGCGATTGGTTTTTGGTAGAACGATAGGGTATGAGACTCAGTCAAAGTTCAGTATACTTTGCTTCAAATATAGTGGATCGTTTATCTCAGGACTGCAACGAAGTTTTTTCTGTTACAATTGGTCTATTCTACCAATTGGAATTTCCTCACTAAAAATTATGGTGTTATCTCTCAAACTCGATTTACTTTACATGCACTTTATTTTTGCTTTGTGGTTTGATTTTAGTTTTATTTTGATAAAATTAAAATAAGTAAAAATTGAATAAAAGAACAAGTTAAATCTATTCACTACTTCTTCATATTCTCTATCCATATTATATTCCACAATCATTCCGCTGTGCACCAACTCCCAACAGTATAAACTCATCATCTCCACAACAAGGACACATCTTCTCTCCATATGAGACACATGAAGGTTTTACATAAAATCATAAATAATAAACAATGCTGAAAATAACATGAGTTTAGAATGAAAAAAAAAAAGAAAAAGAAAGTGGAATTGAATTAGTTAATTATGGGCTACAACTTGTTGCAGCGAAGCTAGGAACTTCTTGAGACATCTATTGTACACACAGGGTCTTTCTAGGTGAACTAGGTGACCTGCTTTCTTTATGCCTTCAAATGTTGCATTGTGCCCTAGTTGCCTGTCATTACATCATCCAAATCCATATCAATTTGACTATTATATATACTTACAAGCTAGGGTTATCAATAACACCTACTTTTGTGGTCCAATTTGGGCCATTTAATTTGTGTGCTATGTATGTGTTCAACCAAGTGACTACTAAATCAATTTAATTTGATGATAAGGAGATGAAAACTCTATGGTCCACCTATTGAATGGTTTGGGTAAGTGGGTTGACTTAGTGTAGCATGATCAATTAAAAAAAGACTTACTCGTTCATGTTTTGGGCTAGCTCCAACTTGAATATCTGATCATCCTCTCCCCAGAGAAGATGTATTCTCTGCACCACAAAACACACATACACACACACACACAAAAATTAAAAGAAAGGAGAATAGAAAAGAAAAGAAAAGAAAATTAGCTAGGTTTTCTTGCAATTTTTACATAAATTAGTTGCTTCACCTGTTGAAAATTGGGGATGGTTGGATCTTTATTGCTGACTATCAAGCCCTCAAGCAGTTCTCCTCTCTCTTTTCTGTTGTTGAACATAACCTGTAATGGGCATTGAAATCATCTCAAACCAGCCTGAAAGGTTTGGGTTTGAATCCGAATGGCGTTGGTTTTGATAGTGTAATGATGATTATGAATACTATGATGTTTACATATATATCCACACACACACACACACACACACTTATACAGGCGTTTACTTTTGCTTGTCTCAGTTGTCAAATTATTTACTTAACCATTTTATCTTGAATCGGGGTTATGAAAGTTTTAATTAATTTGTTGATAATAATATGCAAGTTGAAAATTTTATAAGCTGAGAACTGAAAAATGATCTACACTAGCATTTCTTTTTACCATGTGTAAGTGAAAAAAAGTTTGAAATGAGCTCCGATTTCACTTGTAGAATCAAAATGAAGAACATATATATTTTTCTTTTCTTGGTAAATAATGGGATATTTTTTTGATAGAATTATTCTATACTATAATTTCATCTTTCTTTACAAGACTTGGACACTCAGAGTCAAGGTTGTGAACTCACCGTCCAAACAGAGTCTGTTGAAGTATTAATTAGGTTTAGTTAGTAGAGCAAAGTGACAACTACCAAATCTTGCACCGATTAAACAATAATGTCAAGAGAAAGAATAAACTCGTCAATTCCTGACAACAGAGTTATACATCTTAGTAGCGTATAAGCTATCGATACATGTTCAAATTCATGTGCATACTTGACTTAATGCCAAGCTGGACAAGATGGAGATCATTGGCAATGAGGTCCATGAGTCTATTATTCTCGGTTGTATGAAATTGAAGATTTGAAATTGTAATTAAAAATTTTAATTTAATTTTGTAAGTTATTTTTCTTTAATTTTAATTTTATGCAATCGAACAGAGTCTCATATTAATTACTATGTGGTACCCTATCTCTATTATAGAACTTTCATTTAAAGTCCGATAAAGCAGATATATTATAGACTCCAAATCTTCAATTGATTAAAAAAAAACAAACAAAAAAAAAAAAACACTTCAAATCTTCAATTTTTTTTTTTTTTTTTTAATTTAAGCATTAATTATATATATATATATATTAGATGGTTATCAATTTTAAAAAATGCTCTACTCAATTCTATAGTATAGTTTTATAAAAATAACGTGTGAAATTAATGTTAATGGTTGTTTTTTTGGTACTCAGACACCCCTCTAAGAATGTTAATGGTTCTGTTCAAGTGAAGATGACTTATTAAGTAGCTAGCAACTTGTACAAGAAAGCCAGCCCTCAATCTTATCAAGAGAGTGCCTTTTCCATTTCTAGCTTTTTTTTCTCCATTTTTATTTTTTTAATTCACAAGTAATGTTAGACATCATAAAATGTTTTTTTTATTTATTTTTATTAAATTTTTTTGGAATTCATTCATCAATTTTATTGAAATTCAAGTACTCATATCAAATGGTTAAACACATTAGAATCATTTATAATTTCCAAAAACCCTAATCCAATTAGTCTATTTTCATTGGTAAAGTAAATGTTAATTAGAGTCACTAAAATCTTTCTTATAAGGTGTATCATTTGAACTGTTTTCTTAAATACAATGGATTACTATATGTTTTGAATCTCATTTTATACAACCTTTTGTTTTTTTATTTTTATTTTTGACAATTAGTTTCACAGAACACCCTCTAATGAAAGTACAGAGTATTTCAAAGTACATCAAAGTACAGTAAGTATCCTGTGTCAATCGCAAATAATTATTTTCTATCATACTAAAAAATATTGACTATTAATTTATTGGGGTATTGTAAATAGGAAAATGATAGAGTCACCAAATTATTTCTTCGAATATATTTCGAATCTGACGTGTTTTTGTCCATTCCATCTACTTAAATAGTTTTCAAAAAATAAATATTTAACACATAATAAGTGTAGCCAATCGCGTCAAATTAGTGTCAAATGGGAGATTCTTTTTGGGTTCCTATCATTACACTTGTAAATATAGTCTGTACCCAAAATTTTACCTTCTAATAAATAATAATAATAATATAACAACAAAATAAATTTTTTTTAAGAGAGAGAGAGAGAAAGTTAGACAAACCTCAAGGAAATCCTTGTGAAGGCGATCAGGAAACCAAAGTCTTTTGTGAGCAGCAACAGAAAGCAGTGCCTTGAGACCCTTAACAGAGGTGGGTAGCAACAGCTCCGAAGAAGAAGAGAAGCCAAGACTCTCAAGTGTGGCATTGCTGATGGAGTCAGTCATAGCCAGAATTGAACCAGACACCACCAGTGCCCCAACCAAGTCCGGGTACAGCTCCGCCATCTTGAAAGCCACCATCCCACCATAACTGAACCCAACCACCGTACACTTGTCCACTCCCATCTTCCTCAGCCCCTTCATCAAACACTCCGCCTGGAACGTCGGCGACCGGTCCTGGCTGTCCGTGATCGACCCGCCAAAGAAGAGCAGGTCCGGCACGTAAACGGCGTATTTTTTGGTCAGAGAACCGACCTGGAACTGCCACGTTACGATGCCTTCTGCTGCGAAGCCGTGGACCAGAACAACCACTGGTTTGTTTGGTTTGATCATGGGTTGATCTTTTTTGAGTTTCTTGACGGATTCAGTGGGCACCCAGATGTTCATAACTGTGCCTGATTCGATCTCTACCGAGTGAGGTACAATACCAGCCATCTTCATTAGTCCATTCAACAATGGCTTCTGTAGAGCAACAAAGTTCACCATATCTCGATCTCTAGCTTTGTGTATTGTGAGTCTGATGGAGGTAGGTGAATGTGTGTGTTGTGGATTGTGAGGGCTGATAAAGAGTGTGTGTGTTTATAAACTAAGAGGAAAGACAGGTTTGGTGTTGGGTTGTTATCAGTTGGCCATTGAATGTGGGCGTTGTATAATGCCAACTTCATAAAGAAAGTGATGGAGAGCAAATCGGAACTCTTTATAACCCATAATTATGGGCCGTTCAATTTATTTGATTTACTGTATGTGGAAATAATATTTAGGTGGTATAGTTTGAAAGAAATGGGAAGTCGATGGATATACTCTCAATTGAGTGTATCTAATAGATGAAGGGCTTAGAGTTTTTTGTTATTTTGTTCGAAATCCTCGATTTTGATATTCTTTTGAGTCAATGTTTTACTATAACTCAAAAGTATATATATATATATATATATATATATATATATATATTTTATGAGCACCGGAAGTCAAAGAAAAAAAAAATTATACAAAAATCTCATAGTTGAAAGTTTCTGGAAACTATTTTATAACAACTCAATTAAAATAAAAATGTTAAATATAAAAATATTTTTTTTGTTTTTTTGAGTGATTTTCATCTAAATAGATACACTCAATTGGGAGTGATATGAGATCTAATTAGGTTGTAAGTGTTTTTATTAAATGAGAAGTCTTTTAACTTTCCATTTTATTTTAAGTCTAAATATCATTACTCTCTTTACTATTACTTAAAACCAGCGATCTACTTATTCTCTGACATGCATCAAGTACTATGAATGATATTGGTCTTTAAAATAAATTGTTTGCATGGGTTAAAAAATCATTTTCCATTTATTTCTTACTAAAATTTGTCATCTTGACATTTCATTATTTTTAGTTTAGATCGAAAACATAGTGCTCTATTAAATAAGCCACTAAATAATGCATATCTCAGGCTGAGTTTGTTTGAGTCCCAAAAATATTTTTTTATGTTTTTTAGAGTTTGGTTATTGTAAATTATTTACAAAGAAAAAAAATTCAAACCTAACAAAATAACCTATTCATTAATTTTTGACAAGTTATTTTATGACTTAAACCTTTACCAAATACAGAAAAATATTTTTTGTTATGTTTTTTAGTGTTTGGTTAATGTAAATTATTTACGAAAAAAAAATTTAAAACATAACGAAAATAACTTATTCACCAATTTTTGACAAGTTATTTTATCCGTCCCACCCGATGAACTCGACTTAAACCTTTGCCAAATATCGAAAAAAAAAAATACAAAAAAATATTTTATCTGAAAAAAAAAAAAAAAAAAAATCTAAAAAAAATATTTTACATACAAATAAACTGAGCCTTATAATTATTATGTACAAAAATGTTGATACACCTTTTGAATGGGACTCGTTATTATTTTCCTTAGTGGAATACCATGCCATTACACCATATTAGCATGACTCATATCAGTATTCTGCCATACGAAACAAATTCGAAAGGTGCTATTAGTTGGAAAATTTTTTAGTTGAGGGAGCTTAATTAATTGACATTAATTAGTAATTACTAATCGAATAAAAGTGTCTTAATTAATTAGAGAATTGGACAGTACCATGGCGCTAGCATTTGAACCTTTATGTATTGACTCAAACCCCGACAACTAGACAAGGTGGAGGTTTCATTTTTTATCAACTGCAATTCCTACTTACAATCGCGTATTACAGTGGGGAAATACTTCTCTTGCCATATGTGATTACTTTCCTTATCGGGGTTCGATCTCCTTCAGCATGATAAGATATTTGGTATGTCCGGTGCACGATATATTAACTTATTTGAGCCATATATATTATATATGTGTGAACATGTATTATGCACGTACGACTCGAATGAGCTAGTGCACTAAATATCTATTCCTCTTAACACTAAAGAAGGTCCTGCACTCAATTAAAGATGAATATTGGATCATCAAAGTGATGTCTTCACCTTGACAATTTTCTTTTAAATAATATTTGAAGTAAATTATTATTTTGTTTTTCCGATAAATATATTTGACATTTTCAGGAGCATACTAGCAACATTAAACTAAGAAATACAGAGCTAAAGAGATCATTTTTACCTTGGACTCTTTAGAACAAAGTTTTCTAACAAATTCCATCCATTCTTCCATTGATCTCACATTGTCCGGCTTCATAAGAGCGGCAGCACGTGAATTTTTTCCCACATCCCTTATCTTTCTCGTAATTTTGGATTTATGCCCACACCAAATTCGTATATTTGAATTTGATGGAAAAAATTTTGAATTCGATATCTAGGTTGCAAAATGTTACGATAAAATGAAAAAAAAAAATGATGGAAAGAAAGAACACAGGCATGGTTAGTATAAAATGAAAAAAAAAAAAAAAAAATGATGCTCATACTACATTTCATCACACCAGTTTCACATACAGGGATTAAAAGGGGAATATCAGGAAAAACCGCTCACCAGATAATGCTGTGAGAACAAGAGATTCATCTATACTAAACATGGTTTTTTGTATTAAAGACTAAAATGAAAAGGAGGTGAAGAAATATAGTAAAGAGATTGATGATCAAAGTAAAATTACCCACAATGAGCTATTGGGGGCTAGCTCATGACTTGGATCACACTGCCTCAAAAACTACAACCCAAGAATCACGCTGATGGGAAAAACTTGTTGAGATTGAAGGGAAGGGAATAGAACTCTTCGCTCCTCGTATCCGTCTTGAATGACCGGAACCTGTCCCAGCAATGCATGCCCCGGTCTTTCCTGGTTGCAGTGTCTTTGCGATGCAGTGCGACGTATAGGAAAAGCGCCAACATGCCGGCAACAAATGCTTCCGATGAGAAAGGCACATTGATCATGTCATTGAACTGTCAAATAAGAAGTCTAACCTTAGATGGGACCAAATTAATAGAGAAATAAGAAGCTGATTTAAGGTTATGGAGAGGACAGAGGTAGCTGCATATACCCTGTTTTAGTTTGTTATTACTTGGGTTATTGTTGCATGTTTTGTATATACGTGACCAATGCTAACATAATTTGTGTCAGTCTTAATTGTACTCGCACTCCTTCAATTGGTGTTCCTCCATGGCATCATCACTCTCGAAGCTGTTTCCACAATCAGGGCAAAAGGCATCCTTGTAGTGAAACAGGCCTGGATGATTTCGCGTCTCCGTGCTGTATTTTTGTAGATAATGTAACCTAATCTTCTCAGAAGAATGTTCAACATCTTAACCTTTTGGAAAAGCATACGAGACACTTAAATGTTGATGGATTTTTATAAGCGAAAGCCTGCATATTCCAAATAAAAATCCATCATCATCAACAGGAGTAACATAACACAAGGGACTACAAATTTATGAAGAGTGTGGTAAATGTACAGCAGCAACTTACTCTGGTGCTCTGGGCGAACAGGGGGTAGAATGCAGGGTAAAAATGTTCTTGTGAAAGCACAATTCTGCAGGGAAGGAGCTTTTGATTTCCTTTCGGAGTTCTTCAGTCTCATTCTCTGCAGCATGTACAACATCTTATTGATTTAAGAGCAAAATTCTCATGCCAAAGGTTACACCTATCCATGGCCGGCCTCTATCCCAATAAACACAAAGGCTTAACCCCATTCCGGGCTATTGTTGATCCTATAGAAATTCTAATGGAACTAATGAGTTTAAGTACCTGAAACAACTCTGCAGTAAATGAGCTTTTGATTCCCTCCGAAATTTCTCCAGTCTCATTTTCCTGAAGTATAAACAAGTAGTTATTAATTTAAGAGCACAAATCTCATGCCAAAGGTTATGCCGGACTCTATCCCAATCAATACAAAGGCTTAACCCCATGTCTATCGTATGTTAGCTTAATTTTACCAGGATTTGAGCCTACTTATGAAGAAGGCACAGTTATATAATAAGTTGTTAGTTTATGATATCACATTATGTGATACTGTTGATCCTATATGTGGGATGGTGTGAGCCTTATTACCATAGTTATGACATTGATTTCAAGTTCTAAAGAAATTAATGATATTAAGTAATTGGAAACACTCTGCATCTGCAGGGAAGGAGGTGTTAGTTCCCTTTTTGATTTCATAGTGTCATTTTCCTGCAATATAAACAATATATCCTAATAATTTAAGAGTAAAAGACTGGTGCAGAACAATAAAATATCTCAAATTACTCTATTCAGGAATACTTTGTGTACATGTAAAAGTATCTCAAATTTCTGGGCCTTGCACTGCTTTTCCACATGAACTCAACTCGGAGTATTCGAATTACTCATGCAGGGTACTGCTTTTTCACACGATTCTAGACGGAATTTAATTCAGACACACACAATTCACTACTATGATTGCCTTTCAAAGAAAATTAACTACTACGATCCTAGATGACACAGTTCACTACCATGAATCAATCAAGAAATCAGATATTTAAGCACAAATTCATCAAAAGAATTGTAAATTATGAACAAGTTATTCATATCAACAGGAATTGAGATCACATACAATTATACCAACATATACAAGAGGACGGGAAGGAGGCTTGGCAAGCTGAGATTGCAGATATTTCAAAATGGTCCAATCAAACACACAATCAAACTGAAACCATGAAGCAAAAAGAAAGCAACTTACTTGAGTGGGTAACTTTGAAATTAAAAGCATAACTACTGCGCTTAATTTGATCTTTCCAAAACCTAAAGGATACATAGAAGGTCAACATTATCATACAATTTTAATCAAAAAGATTTCTACAGTTTCTTTCAAGAATCGACTGCTATGAATCATCAAGAATGTAGAGATTCAAATTAAGCACAGAATCATTAAATGAAACGCAAATTCAGGAATCAAAAAAATGAAGAGCAACTTCAAGGATCGACTGCTATGAACACAAATTCAAGAAAAATTATTGAACTTGAACTCCTTAATGATTCGAGTAGAAAAATTAGAATAAAATAGGGACTTCTTCATTTGGTAACACATACCCACGTAGGAGAAGAAAAGGCAATACACAGCTGCAATGATTGGAGCTGGGATTGAGGCAAAGACAGCTCCGAATATCTCTGAATAGTAAATTATTTTTAACAAATGTACTTGGAAATGAAGGTTTATTTACTATGGGTTAAACACTTAAACTATGGATTATTTGCATTATTTGGACATCGTAACACCTAAATTGCCAAGTATGGAAAAGAAAATCATGAAACCAGCAGATATCTGCACAACTCTTCGGCTGCCAACACGTGTCAATGCTAACAAACCAGCATTTTCACTGTATAATGGGAGGAAAAATCAAGTTTTATTCCCCTGCTGATTAAGAATGAAAATTTGCAACACAATTTACAAATTTATTGCACAAGAATCTTACACTGATACTGAGGATCCATTCCCGGTTCCAAATATTGCAGAGAACAATATGCCCACTCCCTTCGATAAAGAACAGAATTAAGATGAGTAGAACACACAGGACATTAACAATTACAGAGTCAAATTTGGAGAAGTACTTTATGAACAGAATTCATGACCAAAAGAATCGCATTCAAATTGACATGGCAGATTAGTTTCCCATCATTTCAAGACAAAGAGCCATCTTTTTAGTTAAATGCCACTATTATGTCAGATGAAAATTTTAGTTAAATTATGCGTGAACCATTCTTTTTAGTTGGGGGGAGGTTCAACAATATTGAGTAGGCCATTAATTCTAATTATTCATTTTGGAAGCAGCCCATGTAAAAATTGCGCAATATCTAGAGTCTTTTAGGCTTAGCATTGAGGTGTTAATGAAGGCAAAAATACAGACAAAATTCTCACCAAGTCAATTTTACCTGCCAACCTATGCAAAGTACAAAATGCCAATTATGAAAGCATCAAACTCTTCATACTTAAAACAGCAATAAAAATATATATGTGTGTAAGTAAAAGAATCCGGAAATGAACTAGGCAATGTGAACTCTACTTGGAGAATGGTTAAGAAACACAAAATTTCATGCAACAAACAATGCAAAGAGAACGGAACTATAACCTTTTCATTCTTTATTCTACAAAATTTGAAAGCATAATTCCATGTGACATACAAAAATCAGTGCATCACTAGAAAAATTCCGGAAAATAAAAAATGCATCACTAGAAATGCAAATGATCAAAACATAGTCACTTGATAAAATTCAGAGAGTTATTGCCTATAGCAAAGAAGCAAGCAAACTCACTTCAAATGCATTCAGCATTGCATTTTTTATTCTATAGCTTTTGAAGGCACAGCTCTATGGTTATATCCATTAGAGAAAATCAATTCATCACAAAGAATGAAACTTAAATGAATGAAGGAAGAATTAAACATCCCAAGAAAAGAGAACTGTTCTACTTTTGAAGGCAAAAGTGCATTGCACATAGCCCATAACAGAAAACAGGTGTGAGAAAAACTCAAAAATCAGCTGATAAAATTTGCCAAAAAAAAAAAAAAAAAAAAAAGCACGCAAATACATTCTGTATTCCATTTTTTGTTATATAGTTTCTGAAGGCACAATCCAGGAATATAGCCACTAAAGAAAATCAATTCACTGCAAAGAATGTTATTTGAAAACTCAAACAAACAGTTAAAGGAAGATTTAGAGCATTTAAATATAAATTTGTATATATATACATACACATATGAATTTGTATATATATATATATACACATGTAAATACACATTTGCAACAATACGAAAATAAAAATAGTAATATAAACAATACTTTCCTATTGTATGGCTTGCTATGGTATTGGTGGGTCAAGTATGGATCTAGCAGAGTCAATAGAAATTCTCACATCTAATATACATATACAGAATACAAAATCAGAGTTCAGAAGAATTGAACCTCCATGAATTTGATTGTCTACAAACTGAAACTAATAATAGTAATTTGCTATGTTGATGAACCAATTGTTAAAGCTGCATTTAATTTGCTATAATGAAATCGTTTTGAGGTCCGAATTTGAACATAATATGGTAATTTGCTATGGTGATGAACCAATTGTGAAACACAAAAACTGAAACCTACATAACTCCATAGATGCCTATGATCGAAGGAGACAAACTTACCAGAAGTTGCAGAGGTTCTAATTAAAATTCTGCTGATGATCGAAGGATGAACAACAAGGCGAAGACCAAGAACACTATGAAGATGGTGATTGTGATGATACGATCCCAAGAAAGCTCTTTGAAATACTCGGAAGCTCAAACTCTCAGATTCTATACATTCGGATTGTAAGTTCACAATCAATAATAGAAAATCGACGCTCAATCATCAATCCACACCTCAATCGTTCAGGGTTTTCTCCTGCAACCAACCACTAGTACATCACACACACAACGTATGATGGGGCTATAGATTAGATCAAGTAATGTAAGCAGCTGATCTCAAGGCAATAATCCAATACAGATGTGTGATAAGTAATTAATACAAGTGGATGGTCTCAAAGCTTCCACGTTAATTAAACACAGTAAATAATAAAGAAAATGTGGTAAATATGAAGTTTTCTTTTAAAAATTTGTTTGAAATTAATATTTAGTTTTTAATATAAAATTTAGTTTCAAAAATGAAATTTTTACTGTTTTTACAAGGTTTAAAGCTTAAATGTAGTAAATAAAATACGGTAAATAACCATTTTTTTGTAGTGTCTATTCCATACATATATGCAACACATTAGTGAAAAAAAAAAAAAAAACAAAACAAAACAAAACTTATGTACTATCATCACATCGATCCAAAGCCATTTGAAGCGAGCAAAACAATTAAACCAATTCATAATCCGTAAGTATATTAATGACCAAAGATACAAAATCTAATTCTTTTACATTGAACTCAATAAATCACAATTGTTAATGTACAGTGTACCTGTTCTTGTGCTTACAAAGTACTGAAATCAATATATGCTACTAACTACTGAGATAACTCGGATTTGGTGGTTGACAACTTGAAGCAACACAAGGGACACATAAGACTCCTTTTCAGTCATATTTTTTATGGGTCCAAACGTTGATAAGGTTATGGTGATGAGCATCAATTAAACTGCAGAAGCCATAAGTAATCTTCATTCATTATATATATATATATATATACACACACACACATATATAGTTCTCTTCCATTATGTAGTGGCCAAAACTATGAAAATGTGCTCCTGACAGATTCCTAGTACTTTCATAAATTATGTAACCAAAAATCATAGAACTGTCCCAATGTGAGCTATTTAAAAAATGGTTGTGCTGACAAGCAACTAAGCAAGTACTGCCCATATTCACTTATTCCTCCAACTTGATTGAATTCACCAAATCTCAGTGTGTTTGGGATACATGATAATAAAATTAGATATTTGTTAATCCTATTGGATGTCAGTAGTCCTAATTTACAACAATAATGTTTGAGAATGCTCTTGCAATATATGATAAGGACACCCCTGACCGGTGGCACAACATAGCCAAGGCTGTTGGTGGGAAAAGTGTGGAGTCAGTAAAGATGCAATATGAGATCCTGTCCCTCTTCCTAATTACAAGAGCAATGCGCGTAACAAGTAGGGAGACAGTATCAGTAATGAAGAGCAGAGGTACCCTAGCTCCTAATGCTTCCATTAAGTTTTAACTAGTAGGAATGTTATGGCAATTAACCAAATTCGACAGTAGTCTATATCTTGTGTGAGGCTCATATTCATATACCCCCATCCCCTGCATGTGTGATTAATCTATGGTATTCTTTTGCAAGTGGAACATTTTTGTGGACTGGAATTTTTCTCATGCTGGTGCATTAGTGCAGTGTCTGAGCTACAAAATGTAGAACACCTTAAGGAATGTAGTTAGTCTTTCTTATTCCCTCATTAAGTGCAGAGGTAACCTACACCATCTCCTTGCTAGGAAAACAATCAATCACCAAAAGGCCCATCCACAATCTAGCTTATAATCTTATTTTCCTACAACAAACAGTCCCTAAGGGAGAGCAATCCGAATTCCAAAATGCAATTTTCAGATTCTATATATTTAACCTTGTTACCTTAAATTTGATATACTTTTTATTACAATTCTGAGTCGTGATTTTACTTTTGCAAATGGGCTGATTAACCAGCCATATATATGAATTGTCATTCGACCTTCATCCAATTAATTCTGCCGACCATTCTTCATTCTGGAATCTTCAATTTTTTAATTTTTTTAATTTTTTCCTCTGTCTCTTCAAGTAAAGGTCAAGAATTGATTGGAGACAACCCATGAATTGTCTGAGCATTGCTTTTAGATAATAATTAAGTCAGTAAAGGTTCTCTAGATTCATGAATATTGCTGATACTTGAGTCCTTCTACAAAACTCATATTTTTTATGGGTCCGTCCAAAGGTTGATAAGGCTATGGTGATGAACATCAATTAAACTGCAGAAGCCAAAAGTAATCTTCAATCACAATATATATATATAGTTCGCTTCCATTATGTAGTGGCCAAAACTTCACAAATTATGTAACCTAAAATCATAGACCTGTCCCCTATTTAAAAAATGGCTATGCTGACAAGCAACTAAGCAAGTACTGCCATATTCACTTATTCGTCCAACTTGATTGAATTTACCAAATCTCAGTGTGTCTGGGATACATAATAATAAAATTAGATAATGGTTAAACCTATTGAATGTCACTAGATGTCAATTATGCATGCAAAAGCACAACCACCATTGCACAAAATATATAACAATACAACGTTTATACGAGATAAAAGTAAGAGTGATAATTATATAGGGATACACTATGATGACATGTTGTTGCAACTTACAACGTCGATTAAGAATGGTTATATGTTATAGTGTGAAAGTCGGGCCACCAGATTTTTAGGCTGAATCTGGAAAATCAAGATCTGCTAAGAGATCAATTCCAATGAAATGAGGTCTGACAACTTGCTTAAACAATCATAACATCTTATTGGGATCATTTATTGCCAAGAATGTGTTGTCTGCTAGTTAAAATCCACATGCTATACTAAGTACTGATGTTTAAATTATAGAAGGAAACAGACCAAAAAGGAAACAAGTGACAAAGCCTTCTTCTAGAAAGCTACTAGGTTCGTCAACATCATTACTCTCTCTCTCTCTCTCTCATTTTCCTTTGTCCTACTTCATCTCGTGGCTAATTAATTGATTAAATAATCTGGAGTTCTGCAAATTTTCTTTAAGGTTAAAGGTGACCTTAATGCCAGAATATTGAAGGGCCAAAAACTATGAAAATATTCTCCTGACAGATTCCTAGTTGCTAAAAAAAAATGGTTGTCCCAAGATGCAAGTACCATCATATTAAATTATGTCTTTGAGTTGGCTGAATTCCCAAATAGCACAACAAAAGTACATCAGATTGTGAATAAAAGTACATCAGATCAGCAAACAAATGTGAAATGCAAATGTCACTAGTCCTTGCTGTCAAATTTATACAACTATGGGCATACAATATACTATAACAATACATTATAATGCCCAATTGATGCAGTGTTTCACTTGCAAATTGCAAATGAATTGGTGGTTGTGTATACTAATGGTTTAGAGAAACAATATGAAAAGCAAAGTCTTTTTTTCAGGACTCCACAATTTTCTGGTACTAGTGTTTGAAAAATGGATACGAGACACCATAGACTAGGCTGTCTAGAAATGCCCAGATTCCTAACAAGGTTTTGGTTTGCAAAGAGATCAATCCCAACGAAGTCGGATCATTTTAAATTGACCATTTGCTTAAAGAATCATAACATCTTCTTGGGTTCCATTTCTTCCACAACATACAGTCCCAAAGGGGGATCAATCCGTATTCCAAAATGAAATTTTCAGATTCTATATCTTGAACCTCATTACCTTAAATTTGATATACTTTTTATTAAAATTCTGAGTCGTGATTTTACTTTTGCAAATGGGCTGATTAACCAGCCATATATATGAATTAAAGTAATGTTCCTCACTTCTATATCTTTATTTTCAATTTACGAACTGAAGTTGTTACAACTTTGAGTTAGTTTATATCAGTCTTAACAAAGTTGTGGAATAAACTACCTATAAATCAGAAAAATAAGGGATTGCTGGTTTACTAACTTAGCTGTTGTTTCTATACAGGCTGAAGCATCTAAAGTTCTGATGAGGGCTGATAGATATATAGCAGTAGAATGAACCGCTTTTCAGAAGATTAAAAAATTCATGTTTGCAGAATTTAATTGTTCCATTAATATTGTAACAGTTCATGCTGAAATGTGTGTGAAGCTCCTCTAATGATCATAAATGATCCCTAGCAGTAAAGATCAGTACAATTTTCCTCTTGAGAAAAGATTTGGCATATTAAAAATTGAAAGCAGCACCTTTTGCTTGAGATAATGTATGTTCAGTGACATTCTTAAGATGACTCTCACACTAGGAAATTCTGAGTTCTATAGGTGGAGCATTCCATACACACACTCACACCCACAATTTCCTAATCGAATTTCAATAGTATTGGACCTCCAAAAATGAAGCTGAGTTTGGGTAAAGCTCTAAGGCCATCTGTCTTTGGACATATTAATTGAGTTCTTTCAAATGCACTCTACCATATATTGGTTTTGGCTTAGTGAGTTCGGAGTTGTTGCAATAGATCTTAAGGATCAAAACAACTAGAAAACAAATACAAAAATAACAATCACATGAAGCAAACAACAAATAAGTTATCCTCTATCAAAATCCCAAATTATGACCGAGTTCAAAAACAAGAGAAAAAGGTGACAAAATAACCCAAACAAAATCCAGACAAAACTTTTTGGATTATATATTTCAACATTTTTCAATCAAATTGCAGAAGTCAAGACAGTCATTGGAGCAAATTGCTAGCAGATTTTTTACATAGCTTGGAGTTCACGTCTTCCATTTTTGCAGGGTTTTGTCTTCATTTGTAATATAGATTATTAGACACTTGATATCAGTAATTTGTTTCAAATTTAATAACTTTATTGATTATTATTACAAGTCATCTTCTTTGTTTTTGCTAGTCATACTGGTTTTTCTTAGCATGCTTTATAGTGGATTACATAACATTTACAGTTCTAACACTTTCCGAATGGCATTTTCCCTATATGACCTTACAGAAGGATATGAGGAAATGGAGAACAGGCTTCGGATAATAGTAGATGTACACGATGTTGCTGAAGCGCTGCTATTGACATATGAGAAGCCCAAAGCTGAAGGAAGATACATATGTGCTCCTCACAAGATCAAGATGCAGGATTTGGTGGAAATTCTCAAAGGAATCTATCCTAACTACAATTATCCCAAGAAGTAAGTGTCTGGCATCACAATACACACACATTCAATATTCATTACAGGACATTACCAAAAATAACTAAATAAATACTCATCAGATGATATTTTGTCCTGTAAGCATTAATAAAATTAATTAATAGATGAAGCAATACTAGATATAACATTAGCACGATTAACTTTTAGTTATGGTTTTATATTAGCATGATTCACTTGTTTATTTATTGGCAGGTTTTTTGCGTGGGACGAAATAGAAGAGTTGAGTTACTCGAGTTCAAAAAAACTGCAGAGGCTGGGTTGGAGTTGTAGACCATTGGAAGAAACTCTTGTCGATTCCATTGAAAGCTACAAACAGAATGGAATTCTGGGTTAGAAGCATATGGCGCGTTTGCATTGGAGGTAAAGTTTGTTTTGTCAAGCATGTCCCAAACCCGGACCCTTGTTAATGCTATGGAAAGGATATAGAAGTGGGTGTTACTTGTCATGTAGGCTCTATCTAAGAGCCATGTAGTTGTTTTAGTTGCTTCTATGCATGATGGTGGTGTTTGTGTCTCTTTAGGGACTTATGGATGATGGTTCACGAGCTCTTTAATAGAAGTGAAGGTTACCCTTTTTGGAACACTCTGTTCTTGATTTCAAAACCTTGGATGTGCTGTAAATGTCCATTGCAAGCAACCATCCTCAAAGCCTTGTTTGGCTCACAAATTTAGTGAGGAAAAGGAAGACAGAAGAAATACCAATATGAATGTGGGTCGAGACTAACTGCAGGAATTTGGAAAATACACTGCTGGTGTGAATTGTAAAAACAAAATAAGAAATTGGATTAGCTAGCTACATTATGTAAAATCCAATCAAGGTTGTCACTAACATTCTCTAACAATCCAATTATGGGATCCTAAAGTTCCATTGAAATGTGGATCTAATTTGGATTAATGTGCCCAAATTCATATCCACACACAAATGATTCAAATTAAATAAAAACTAAGGTGTGATTTTTTTTTTTTCTTCGTAACTTAGTTTTAACATATTAAACACTTCTAACCATGGCAATACAGTGAACCAACTTCTATTCCATACATATGCCAGCTAGAAAAAGAAAAGCTAATCACCGTCGATCCAAAAGACCATTTGAAAAGAGCAAAACAATGAATCCAATCCGTAACTATATTGAGCAAAACTACAAAATACAGTAATTCTTTTACATTGAAGTCAGGAAACCACAATTATGAATGTACAGAGCACCCTACAAATACTGAAATCCATATATGCTACTGCTAACTACTGAGATACCTCAGATTTGTTGATTGACAACTTGAAGCGACACAATGGCCACTCTGCAATGCATTGGACATGGTATCTATGAGAGAATGGCATCCGAATGACTGGAGACCCAATGACGATTTCATCCTTACATATAACACAGAGTACTTCCACCTCCTCACCATGATCATCAATATCACCCTCAAATCTCACCGGCTCTATTGTCTCCTGAAAGTACTCCCTCATAGCTCGTTCCAACAATGACAACTCCAAGTCTTCATCATACTCATTGTCCAAGAAAGGACACAATGACAATTCCAAATCTTGATCGAAAGTAGCTGTTTCCCTCACCATTCTTCCTATTTCCCCGTGGATGGAACCAAAGTCGGAAAACGATTTCGACAGTATCATCCGATTAACCTTCTGATGAAGTCGAAACCAACGTTCTACCTGCTCCTTTGCAAGGTTTATTGCTTCAAATTGAGCGTGGGGTAAAATCAGTCGATTCACTATGTATATGTCCAATCGGAATAGCTTCTGACCGGAGTTGCAATATCTATTGACGGTGAACCTAGCCACATCCAAAGCATGACGGATTAGGTCGTCGGTGTTCTCCAACTCAGTCTGCTCACATTGCATCTTCTCTAGAGTGAAGGGGATTTTCATGCCATGGATCATTGAGTAGAGCAAATCATAGGTTAAGTACTTGTATGGACGTCGTGATGAGATCTCTCCGATACCGTCTCGGGTGATGAGGTCTCTGGTTCTGCTTTCAGGATATCCATCCTTTAGATGATAAGTCTGCTCCACACGGAAGTTTAATTCGACGTTGATGCAAGGCAGAAATTTACCATCATCGCCTCCAAGATTACCATAGCCATTAACCCAAACGAGCTTTTTTGTGGTGGCGGCCATGGTAGAGAAGAGGGCCGGAGAGATCGAAGTTCAGCGATACTACTAATTTGGCGGAGAGGATAGAGATGCGCAGTTAGGAGGAGAGAGACAGAGGGATTGAAGACGGTTAGTCTATAATTTTAGGAAACAAAGCTGAAATTCGCTTTTCAAACAAAAAAACAAAGTTCGGTTTACGTCTTCTTTATCAAGAAATATAGCAGATGGAGGAGAGAGATCAGGCCCGAATTCTGTGAACCGCTTCAGTACAAATCCGATCCTATTGCTAATTTGCCCTAAGGTAGAGTAAAGAGGGCAAGAATGACTTTTCTAGAGGCGCTAGCTCAGAAATCCGTCTATTTTCCAAGCTTGGAAACAAGTCCTCAGAAGCCAGAACCAAAGCCCGGGTTCAGTTTCGTTTTATAGCCGCCTCTTAGGGGAGAGAGAGAGAATTGAAGGCGGTTAGTATATGTGTGACTGTGTGTGTGTGTGTAATTTTAGGATACTTGATGGTTAAGTCCAAAAGTAACTTTGATCAGTTTAAAAAAACCATAAGGCAAAATAAGAAACCTCTTAAATTCCTCTTATAAAGTTATTCTTTATTAATTTTTAATATTACATATGTGAGTGCATGATACCATTAATATTATGACATCACAATTTACTTAAATAAAATTAATTCTTTATCGTTACTCTTTTAAAAAAAATTACATTATAATCATTACTGGACATTAGAATTTGGAAAAATAAATCTAAATTAAAATATTTATAAATTAATTAGAGTATTTCATATGCACGCTTATGAAAGGCCAAATTAGTAATGTGTGCGTACTAATCCTAGTGGAGTAAGATTCTAATTTACGTTGGACGTATCACTTTATCTAATATATATATATATATATATATATATACTTACTGCATAGATAGAATTTATATAGATAGAATACAGATTAATTAGGCAATTTAGACAAACGGTATGAAATGTCTATATATACAGATCCATTTCTACCAAGGTTTCTTAATGCGATTTCTAATAAATAAAGCCCACATAATTATGAAATAAATAAATAAAGCCCACATGCGATTAAATTAGATAAACATGCAAATTGATGTTTAAATTATAGGATATAAGAGACTTGATATTAGAGTAATGATATTTAAATAAAAGAATTTGAAAGAAATAGTGAGTGGATAGATACTTTTACTCTCACTAATGAATGATGGACTTTGAAGCTTTTCATTTTGTTCAAAATCCTTGTACTTAACAAGTTTTTAAGTGAATGTTTTAAAATAAAAAATAGTGATATACTTAGGATCTGATTGGTTTAATTTTTTGAAAAGCTTCTTATTTTGTGAGAATTGAAAATTAAAAAATTGTATAAAAATCTGTTTGGTAGAAATTTTTTGAAAATTATTTTATAAAAACTCATTGAAAAAATGTTTGTTTTTATTTATATGAGAACATTCTCTTTTGACTTGTTTTCTGAGTGACAAATCAAACAAGTTCTTATACTCCCACATTATGATAAATACATTCAATTGAGAGTAACATGAGATCTAGGTAAATCGTAGATTTATCTATTAAACGAAAAGCATTCCCCATGTCATTTAAGTCTAACTATCATTGCTCTCTTTACTTAATACTTAAAAGCAGTGATATTCTTATTCTCCAACATTTAATGCATCAAAGTGCTATGAATGATATGGTTTTTTAAATCAATTGTTTGTATGTATTTCCATTTATATCTTATTAAATCTTGCCATCTTGACATTTCATGGTTCTCTCTCCACACTGAGCTTTTACCATTCTGGTAATGGGAGTTTAGTTCTAACCATAATTATATAAATTAAAAATTGAAAGGCAATTTTAGATACATATCTCACATTTAGAATTATTTTGTACAAAAATGTTGATACGCCTTTTGAATCGGACTGTTTACTATTTTCCTTTGCATGCAGGAAAACCATTACACCATGACTGGGATCAGTTTTTTTGCCATATGAAACAAATCCGAAAGCTATTATAATTAGTTAGGAGAAAATTATAGTTGAGGGAGCTTAATCCACATGAATTACTAATCGAATTAAAATGTCTGAATTAATTAGAGAATTGGAGAGTAACTTGCCAGTTGGTCACGTGGCAGAACTATTTGTCTTATTAATATTGCGTTTTTTTGTACAAAATTTTAGGCTTACTTGATTTGTAACTCTGAAAACAATTCTTAAAAATTCATAAAACAATTTTAAAAAAACTAAACTAAGCATGAGTTTTTGTATAATTTTCTATTTTCGATTTTTTGAAAACTGAAAACTGTTCTCAAATTTACAAACCAAACGGATTCTTACTTTGCCGTCTGTCATTGACTCATTATGATACAAACTCTTACTTTGTCGTCTGTCATTATGTTGTTTATGTTTCCAGAGACAACCAGACAAGGTTGTTTCTTTTTTGATCAACTGCACTGCCTACTTACAACGGCGTATATATAGGTTGTTTCTTTTTTGATCAACTGCACTGCCTACTTACAACGGCGTATATATAGATTGTTTCATTTATGAAATTTTTTTGGAAGTTAAAAGTGTATAGTTACAAAACAAGTTACAAGCTCAGCCCATGGAACAGCTTAATGGAGGAAGTATATAATAGGAGCCTGGTACTGGATTAAAGAGGGCCCAATACAGGTACATGCTAAGCCTAATTAAGACTCCGTTCGTTGGTTTGAGCGTAAAATATTTTTCATAAGTCTTTCGTCTTCCAAGTTCTAACAAGTTCTTTTTCACATACTTTTGATGTTCCCTACAAATTTGATTTAGTCTTTCAATAATGCCTCTGTAAACCAAACTTTTTTTTCATTCCCAATCTTGCTAGGTTTTTCTTTAAAAAGATTTTACCAAAAACTTTGCGAAAAAATCTGCCAATTCATCATCCAATGTGGTATCTTTTACATACCTCAAAATTCTCTTAGCAAAATTCCAATGACTCAAAATTATTTTTCCACGAACCTGTTAATCAAACATACCACAAACATGATATCCAACGTTGTAATTATTAAATACATCAAAATTTCAATGTTTTCCAATGCAAAATACATCAAAATTTCTAGTGCTTTCGAATGCAAAAATTTTCTTTGCAATCTCTTTTATTGTGCAGAATTTGTATCATGTCTTCTTCGTGCTCATAATATTTTTCTTCACCCGACCTCGTAGCTGACCTCCACATTTGTTCTTTAGCTTCACTTGAAAATTTTTGCACTTCATGAATTTACTTTTGACTTCCTCACTTGAATCAAAAAAATGCTTCAATAGTCACCCATGTCACATCACTTGAGAAATATTACGTACAAAATTTTCTCAAATTTTCTTCAACCATGAGATCATTCAATTGAACATATTTCATTTCTTGCATAAATTCAAACATTTTGTTTTCTTCTAGATTTGATATTTCAATTTCTTCACCAAATTATCTGAGATTCAATTCCTACAACTTCTTCTTTTGTGTTCACTTCACTATCTATTTCTTTTCTTTCTTCTTCAATTTTATATTTTTCAAATTCTACCTTTTGGGTACTAATTCTTCTTTCTCATTTTTATCTCTCAAAAATTTTCCTTCATCAACATCAACTCCTTCTCTTATATATTTTATAAACTCCACTTTCACAATTTTCTCATATATTTCACTTTTTCAAAATCATCTTCTTCTTCCATCCTATCAAAATTTTCCCAATGGTAATAAACTTCAAACATTCTATCTCTATGAAATTTGCCAAACTTTAAAAGCGATTAATGTAATTTATTTATATTTTTAGGAGTATTTTTTGTACTTGATGTTACCTCTGTCTCTTTTTATGATTTGTTTAGCTAAGGTTTTCTGGTGGTTATTTTTATGTATAGGAAATGGACTTTCTCTATTATCATTTAATGCAAACATATACTTAATGAAAAAAGATAAACTTTGTTGTATTTTCAAAAAATATAAAAAAAATGTTTAAAATTAAGAAAAACTCTCTTTTTGTATTTTAAAAACATATCAAATATTTAAAAATAAGGAAAAAAAAAAAACCCCTCAAAATTTTATAATAGTATTGATAGATATAAATATAAAATTTGGGAGCAACTCAACACAAAATTGGGCAATTCTAACACATTATTGGTATATCATATACGTAGTATTAATATTAGGGAGATATACACATATATCATGTCATTAGTAATGTCATGTCAATGAAAATATATCAAATTAGTAAATAATTTGTAATTATAAAATCAGAAAAGTAATAAAAATGAAAATGAGAGAGGGGATTAAATTTTATTCCAAACAAAATTATTGTTCTTATTTATCACTTTTCTAATTTTATAATTATAGTCTATTTATCTATTTGTGATAATTAGCAGCCATTAACTAAAGAGGGACACGAAAAAATGGGGGAGAAAGATCATTATTTTGGGTGGCAGGCAGTTGTTCCATATCAAGTCTCTATAATTTAAACGTCAATTTGCATGTTTATCTAATTTATTTGCATTTGGGCTTTATTTATTTATTTATTTCATAATTATGTGGGCTTTATCTATTAGAAATCGCATTGAGAAATCTTAGTGGAAATGGAACCCAATCTGTATATATAGACATTTCATACCGTTTCTCTAAATTTCCTAATTAATCTGTGTTCTATCTCTATAAATTCTATACAAACAGTATATTATATATATATATATAAATTAGATAAAGTGATATGTCCAAACTCCCACAACGATTACTACGCACACGTTGCTAATTTGGCCTTTCATAAGCATGCATATTACTATTTAATTTATAAATATTTTTATTTAAATTTATCTAATGTCAAGCAATGATTGTAATGTAATTTTTTTAAAAGATCAAGATAAGAATCAGGACAAATTGAATTAATTTTGTTTAAGTAGAGGGTGATGTCATAATATTAATGGTATCGTGATACTCAGCTCCAATCACATATATAATATTAAAAATTGATAAAGAATAATTTTATAAAATGAATTTATAAATAAATAAATAAGAGGATTAAGAGATTTCCTATCTTGCCCTATCCTTATTTACTTCCAAACCAAGATACCGATTAAGGTAACTTCTATACTTGACCACCAAGTTTCCTAAAATTATATATAGACTTAGTCCTCATCCATGTATGTAGTAAAGCCTTCAATTTCCTTTCTCTCTCCTCCTATCTGCGCCTGATCACTCTCCTCTCTACTAAATTAGTAGTATCATTGACCTTCTCTCCGGCCCTCTTCTCTGCTATGGCAGCCACCACACAAAAGCTCTATGTTTGGGTGGATGGCTATGGTAATATTGGAGGCGATGATGGTAAATTTCTGCCTTGCATCAACGTTAAATTCAACTTCCGTGTGGAGCAGACTTATCACCCTG